TAGTCGACAGTGCGATTCCAGATGTTATGAAGGTAAAAGTCACAGTATGCCTAGCTCCTAATCGCCATTGTTATTTCGTATTTCCATAATTACCGTCCAAAATAATTTGTGCTAGATGGTATTCAGGCCAATATTATGCTCAATTAAAGCCTTAGTAGATTCCGTACAAACCCTGCCACTTTATTTGTCAGGGATGAAGGCAGAGCAGGTTGTTTCACGTGGGTTTTCAACGAAAATCTACACACTGATAATCGTGGGAAACGTTTTGTTTGAAAATTCAAGTCACCAAAATTCTTGTCTTAATGTATTGCCTTTTTTCTTGGTTGCACTTCGTTTCCCTCAAAGCACGTGTAGTCTGTGTTCGTTTCTTACATACATTTTTAAATTAAGAAATGCTTGACACTATCCATTGGTTTGTTTTTATGTTGCGATTTTCTGGTTTTGCTCTCTATTCCTATCCATCCACCTACCCCGCTATCTTTATGGACTATGACAGCCTAACCAGCATATTAAACTAAGTGTGGTAGTCAATAATCACACTAATGTATTCCACGTTCAATGTATTTATTTAAGTGTAGCCAAGTCCTGGGGAAAAGAGATGGTTTATAGTTTTCTGCCCGAGAAGATATTAATTTTGGTTGATTGGTTCAAAGTCGTATCCATACCATCGTCCCTTCTGTTTGGTTTTTTTCACCTCATGTTTTTGAATTTGGTTCATTAATCAAGCACTTCACTGTTTCTATTGTGCTTCCTTTTGGCGAACCATCCATATTCAAGTACAGATAACATCGGGAGAGCACGATGTTATAGATACCGGTAAAAGTGCACACATTGAAATAGTACACTGCGCAGCTACAAACATACTTGAATGCTCCATACATTGTCCTTCAAAATGCGCTCGATTTCCTGTGAAATTCTAATAGATCAGTAATAATAATAGCGATAATCAAAATATTTGCACTTCATTTGTTTCTGGCCTGCATTCTCAAAAAACTAGATCGCGATTGCTAAATGGGTGCCGCAGAAGTACCTTTTGGAGTGATGGCCGTAATCGTTAGCATTGCTTCAAAGCAAATAGCCAATTTCTCTGATTGCTCCTAGTGTCACAGTGTACACAAAATAGACATGTAAACTGAACAAGGGTGAATGTACTTTAGGGGGACAAAGCGTTCTGCAAAACATCTTCTATGACAAAGTTGAAAAGGAATGGGGATATAGGGCAGCCTTGTCGAACTCCACTGGAGACGGCGAAGGGTGGCGAAAGCTGGCCATAGGCCCTAACCCGACCTGAGGTATGACGATACAACTCTTTGAGGATCGACACACTTCTCAGGTACTCCATTCCTCAGCAAACAGTTCCATAGTGCGGTCCTATCGACAGAGTCGAAAGCCGCTCGGATGTCCAAGAATACAATGATCGTCGGTCTCTGATAAGCATGACGGTGCTCTAGCAGCTGTCGGAGGGTGAAGATTTGATCGATGCATCCACGACCGGCACGAAACCCAGCCTGCTCCTCACGGGTCTGCTCTTCGCGCGTAGTGTACAATCGGCGGAGAATGACGGACGCCAACAGCTTTGACGCTATCGGGATAAGGCTTATACCCCTATGATTGGCGCAGTCATTGCGCGAGCCCTTTTTGAAGATGGGGACGACAATTGATTCCCCCCACGAGGAGGGGACCTGCTCAGTGTACCACACTTTAGCGAACAGAACTTGTAGTTCTTTCACAAGCTTTATTCCGCCATCTTTAAATAGAGCAGGGGGAAGGCCATCGGAGCCCGGCGCTTTGTGACGTCCCAAGGCTTGGATCTCCTTACAGATTTCCGCCTCGGAAGGTGGGTCTGTTGAAACAGACCATGGGACGTGTGCCGGAATAGCTGTGTGAGAAGCTGGCGCGGGTGGCCAGCTAAATTGTGCTTTGAAGTGCTCCGCCCAGCGTTCAAGGCGTCGCTGTTGATTATGAATGGGCAAACCGTCAGCTTCGCAGATCGTTTCGCTCACACCTAAGGCTTTCCTACCGGTGACCCGGATGAGATGGAACAGCTTACGGGAATTACCCATGGCGGCAGCACGTTCCATCTCTGATGCGCGTTGAGACCACCAGATCTCGCGGTCTCTGCGTAGGCTTGCGTTTAGTTCACGTCTCGTTATGAGTCGCGTTTCATTATGCTCGCTGCCGGTCGGAATTGACCGACGTGCGTCAAGAAGACGTAGAGACTCTGCAGAGATCCAGGGTGTCACGGCGCGACGTGTTAGACCACAACTAACTAAGCCAGCAGAATGCATAGCACTCTTGATAAGCGACCAGTGCTGGTTGACATTGTCGGGTGGGGTTGGTTCTAGCTTCTTAGCTAGCGCGTTTTGGAAGACAGTTAGACAAGCTGGTTTGGATAGCTTGTCATAATTTAACCGTCGTTGTGTCGTGCGTTTGGAACGCCCACCGAAGCACATGGACAGCTTGGCGCATACTAATGCCTGGTCGGATTCGAGGGGAGTGCTCCAGTACGATCGGCAATCTCGAATGCAGCCCCGCCATTTGTGGCTTATAGCGATGTGGTCAATCTGCGTCCGTCTCTGACTCGAGGAGGGCGGACGCCAAGTGGCGTACCGGCAGTTGGAACGCCTGAAGTTCGTACTGGCAAGGAATAGGCAGTGGTCGGAACAAAGAGCCAACAACCGATCCCCGTTTTCGGAGCGACAGGAGTCTAGTCCAAAAGGACCACCCAGATGCGCCTCACTCGGAGCCAGTCGACCTACTCGAGCATTCATATCACCTGCTAAAATCACGATATCAGCCCGGGTCGCTTTACGCAAGAGGTCGTGCAGATTGTGATAAAATTCATCTTTGACTGCATCTGGGCTACAGTCCGTGGGGGCGTATGCCGACAAGAACCTAACCGCAAGGCAGCGGTTAAGGCGGATTGGAGGCCCACTTACTTGGATCAATTATCCCTCCAACACGTTTTATNATATATATATAGGAGGAAACAATATTATGCTTAGCTTGACTCTTCCATCATCGTTTTTCCAAACGACCAGTCTTCCCAAAGCATGGAAGCCCTTCTCACTATCCTATTTTTTCGTGTGCTGTCACAGACTCTGGAAAGCGCTATTTCTAAACATCCTGGGGAAAAGCATAGAAACTGGCCTAATGAAGAGTATCTTGATTGTGCTACCAGGTGGTATCCGTTGTTCATTTTTCTTCAACAATGCAACTAGCCTCTGCGCAGTCTAGTGTTGCTTGTGGAATAGAGTGTAATCTCATTCTTTTTACTTAATAGTGGACCAGATTCATACACTTCTCGGTGCGCTATTATGGTTTCTTGTTGCAACTAGAGCACTGTGAATGCTAAATCCCGCTACTTCTCCTAGTATCACCGTTGATTGTCCCCAACCGCTTATTCAATTAAGCAATACCCGCATATTCGCGCTTTGGTCGTAGGCAGCTGCACTGTCGTCCGGTTCAATACGGCGCCTATCCTACTGGGGCTTAATGTGGTTCGCTACCCTAAATTCGTGTCTTAGGTTGCCGGTTTCTGTATGTAAACAGGATGCTCTCGTGACTGGGGTTTATTCTGTGGGCTGTTCATCATACAAGTATGCAATCAAAAAGTTAATCATCTAGTTGGTCTTTTCCTATCCGCGATATGGAGGTGTCCGTTAACGCGGACCGTAGACAAAATAACCAGATGCCTGTCAGTGTTAGACTAACCGAGGACTTCCGTTATTAGTCTCTTCTTTGGCTTGGGTAGCCTAATAGTGTCGCACTCACAAATAATCTACCTATTGAATTTTGTTGCCAGGCCATTTATAACCCTGTTTGTTTCCAGTCAGTCTTGACCGCGATTAAACATCCAAGATGTGCGAATGAAAATGCTGTTGGTGGTGCGATAACTCCATTGTCATCACCATCTTCAGCTGGCTAATTGCCAGTATTCAAAATTTCACTCTGAAAAATAATGAACACCCAACCTTTTATGGCTTAGGTCGCCGGTTTCCATGAGTGAACAGTGGGTTATCAAGACTATGAGGTTTACTCCGTGTGCTGTTCACCACTCACTGGTATGTGATGAATATGCTCCTCTACGTCATCCAGTCGCGTGACTTTCTCGTTCATGCAGCAGCCACTGCACCGGACGTGGTGAAATAGACGTTTGCTATAGTATTGAAATGACGGGGCGCCCAATCATTCCTGTGCTGAGTTTAAAACCAAACACTCGAAAGTATTGCGGTTTGCATCATGCCTGTTGATTTTACTATCTGTTGCCGGTTATGTCGGTCTCTTTGATCTGTGCTTGTAATCATCCCTCCCTGACGCTGCAATGCGCCCATTTGGTTTATCTGTTTTGGTTCGATATCCCATTTGGGTTTGCCCGCGGACCGAGACCACGCGGAACTGCTTTGGTTGTTTTTTCCGATAATTTCCTACTTTTCTTTCGGGAGTTTAGTTCATTTAAACCTGTCTTTCGAACCGTGTGTCGCTCGTGTTCCAATAGCCCCAGAAGTTTCGAACATCTGTGCTTGAGCATATGCTGGTGCTTTCGCTCTTTGCATCGTAACAATCGACTCCTGAGTTATTCAGCCTCAAACGTAATTCGTTGTTAGTCCCTAATCGCTTTTGATGTGATATCCGATTACTGTGTTTTGCATCGGGTTAACATGTGGTGCTTATGATCGTGATCGTTATCCAGTTGGATGGACCATGGTTTGACATTCATATATCTTTCCACTTACCACTTAGTGTGCTAACTCACGTCTGTACCTTTGGTGTCATCGTCGTACCTGGTACAAGCATCACTCCAAAACACCACTCATTCCATCCCGTTTTAGGCCCCGCTTTCTAACCTCACATCTCTCGCAACTAGGATTCGCCGTCGCTGACAGATCGATTATCGGTTTTTATATGCGCCCGTCGTTCACCCTGTCTGTCTGATGTAGAAACCGCAGGCACGGTGGTGACTGTCCTCCCATCGACCTGTGTGTACACGCACCCGCAGTCCAGTCTCATCATACCATCACTACTACTACTACTACCACCACCACCAATACTACTACTACTACTTGCCATCTGAACTGCGTCCTCGTACCATGGATTATTCCTGTGGACTCGGTCCGCATTTGGGTGGATCTCTCAGACGGGGAACGAATATTCGCCGATCCATTTCATCCTCTAAATACATCGGAGGCATTGACTGGCGTAAGTTAGCTCCTACTCATACTCATACGCGTATTATCACACACCACTCCGTTCTAGTCGTCCACCTTTTCATTTGTACTGTTAATCCCTCCTTTATCTGTTTGCATGCGGTCTAATCGCCATGTATTTTGTGAGCTTTACACAAAGAGCATGATGCGAGCTCCAAACTTGGTGCGCACCATTAGAGTTTACGCTGTGCATAACCTTCCCTTCGGATAGTTTGAATGCCTAGCACCATTTCCACACGTTACATCGTGGTTGTTGGGTGATCATTTCTTGGGTGCACGCAGCTTCCTACCTCACGCCTTACCTAACCACTTTTTTCACCTAAATTCTTCGTGTGCCTGCGATTGCAGTTCAAACTGTACACTTTCCCTATCTGTGCAAAGTTGATACACAACCGTAAACTTAACTTGAAATAGTTCACACGTGTTTATTCAAAGGGTGTAATCCATCGAGGGTATTGGTTAGTGAGTATCTTGGTGACTGATAAAGATGGGCAGTCAATGTCGTTGGGTTAAGTCCGCATATACACTCACACAATTCCGTCCAACTGAAATCCATACGCATTCCGTTTCAAGTCACTCATCATTATGGGCCGTAGAGAGTGCACCAAGCGTTCGTTTCATTCTTGTTCGTATTGTCAACTTAACTCTGTTTTCCCACCAGAGTTTTGCATTATCTACACGAATTGCGTGCTTGTAACTGGATTGGGATTCACTGAGTCCAATCATTTCTGTTTTCTTCCCTTCACGCCTCTTTCAGATCGCTCTTGTACTCTTGATACTCTGAGATTGATTTCATTATTTTTTTTCTGGTCATCTTCCTGCTTTTATCTTCCTGAACAATAAAAGCACTTCTTCAATTTAGTCTGAATTCTATCTTTTTGGCCTTCCAGATGGAATGAACCTTTGGGGGATTCAGATTTGACGTGACTCAATCTGTGGTCTCTATTTATTTTTCAACCCATACACCGGGTGTTTCAGTCGTCTACAGGCTGTACTGTCGTTGTCCTATCTATTTCTAACGTACCACAAGCGAAAAAAAACAATGCCTGAACATCTCCGGATTTTCGCGTCATTCGTAAATTCAGATATATAATAGTGCAGAAAAATGAGGGAAAAGTGAGTGGGTTACGTGGGGAAATATTGGCCCTTGTTCGCGACAGGCAATATAATTCGCTCTGGTGTGACTGCGTTCGCATTCAATGCAATTTTCGGTTTTAAGTGTACATGATGAATATAATTTCGGAATCGGGTCAGCTATGTAGTGTTTTATCATTATCTTCCCTTTGATTCCAATAATGTGAGATTTTTTCCAACAACCAGTTCATTCCTCACTTCCAATCTATCGATCTTTAGTTGTTTTTCAATATTCAAGGGTTATTATCGTGAATAAATTGTTTCCCCGAACTCTGTTTGTGTGAGCGCTCGCGTGTTCCAGTCTGCCTAATCATCTTATCCGCTCCTTGCATGTGTGCTTACTGTATGTATCAACAACACTACTACTAACCCCGTCACACTGTTTGATATTCGATAAAGGGGCAATCAGTCGAAAATATTCATTTGATGAGTGTGTTTTCCATCACGATTGTGAGTCCAGTTCGACCGAGGTCACCGTAGACTTGTCTTCATACTCATTATTTTTGTTACTCACACAAGTTATCAGTGTGATTTGATTCATGTCCCGAACGGTTATCTTTCTGGGCAAAGTTGACACACAATATCCGCAGTTTGGGAGTTGAATCCAGTGGATTTATTTGTTCAAACTTGAATCTCTATCGGTTCCGTATAGCGAACCTGAACAAATCGATAAATATGTGCTTTATGGGTATCTGATTCGTAACACCTGAGATCCATTGACCAACAATAATAGCAGAATCGTACGGAGTTTGTTCACTAAATGGACTTTATATTCCAAGTGTTCTGATTGCGTACCTCTTATGATGCTTTTAAACAATACATTGAATGTCTCGTTTGAGTTCTCTCTTTTCACTCACTGATGTTATATTTTAACTACGTTTGCTCTGCAGTGAACAGGTATTTTGAGTGATGCTGTCGCGTCAATTTTTGCGTAGTAAGTTTCCGTATGACGATGTGAAACGTAGTCATGGATTGGAGTCGCCAATTAACAAGCAATCCTCTGGCGTGTTTTCTGTCGTGAACACAACTAATACCAAAGCAATCATTGCGCCTCAATCTATTTTGAAATTTTTATCGATCAGAATTGGTTTTAGCTCGGGAATCTTTTATACTGTTTGTTCATGATTCCGAGTTATTTTACCCACGTTATTTCTCTACCGCTCACTTCTCACCCGTTTTTCGCGGTTAATTTGCAATTTAGATTTTTTGAAAATTAACGTGCTGCACGAAAGATCTTAAATTTGGATTTGTATGCATTCTAAAACGAAGTTGTTCTCGTTTTTCCTCTCATAAAAGACATGAGAATCGTTGCATTACACTCGATCACCCCCGTCCCGGTACCGATTACGTACCAACGTTTCACATTTGTCAATCCTCAGTGTTCTGGGTGTCAATTTGTGGTTTGATTTGGCCGCTCGGTCTCGTTCCTGTCTTTTCCGGGGAAAAATGGAGTTGTCACAGAACTTTGTTTGACTTTTATTTGGCTAATCAAAACAAATGCAATACAAATCAAATTTTCTCTTTCGGTAATGTTTTTCTCATAACCTATATCTTATGGTTATGTGTGCCAGTTTGATGCAAGTTTGCACAGGGATACCGCAACTCAGACTATTTCGAGACAAGCTCCGTTTCTGGTATCCTAACAGTCGACAAAGATAAAGGTTAACTTTGCCCCCCCCTCCCCCCATGTAGTCGCGTATGCTACAAAGGCATTCCGTTCTGCACTTTAAACGCACCAGTTGCCTTGATATTTTAACTCCTTAAAATTTGCGCAGTTTTCTCATCACAATTTTCACACTTTCCTTGCACCGCAATTTTTTAGTCCTGTGTGTGTGTGTGTGTGCTCGTGCGCATGGCCCCCTGCATAGTTTGATTTGATCTGGATTTTGATCCATGAGACTACTACTACTTGTACTGTTACTACTGTAGCAACTTGTATTTCATACCCATCCACCCACCCCCGCACTAGTCAAACAAGCTAATGGATACTATTCGCAATTGCTCTTGGTGATCGGTTGTTCTGTTTGGGAAATCACCGTTCGGTATTTCAAGTTGTTTTCACGACTAGACGGTGGACAATGAATATAAGCAACTGTATTAGTACGCGGAGCCGTTTTACTTGACTGATAAAGTCAGAGTATCTGCGGCCCAGGCGATTTCGTTCTCTTCAATTGCCTATTGGCATATTTCAGTCAAAAAAAGAATTACTTTTGCCTTTTTGTAACCAACCAGAGTCCTTTCTTGTTTATATATACTTGCATAGCTACATTCATTGCGAAACACATTATCCCCGTAGTTGAAGATTACTTTGAGTGATTCACGGACCGCTTTTACTTTACTGTTGTTGTTGCCTACTGCAATCGGTCACCCACTTTCGTTTATTCTGATCACTGTCCCTCACACAGTGGGATCACTCACTGTCTTTTATAAACACCGTTAGGCACCATACACCTTTTCTGGTCACTCCTTACTCTATCTCGCTTTATTTTTCTTTTACTCCGGGGCGCGTCCAGCTCTTTTTAGCCTAATTGTTGATCACACCAGATGATTTGTTCACTCAGGCGACCACCGATTTGTATTCCTTTGCCTTGCAGATTTACGCACACAGTTTTTGGAACAGGCCAAATGCCTGGAACTCAAACTAGATATCGATTGTACAGTGCTGGCCGAGTTGCAAGATTTCTACCGCCGCCGTGCTGTGGTCGAGCAAGACTATGCAGATGCTCTGGCTAAACTGGCGAACGGAGTCAAACAACGCCATATCAATGAGACGTCTAAGTGAGTTGTTCCTTCTAAACCACTCCCACCCATAATGCACGTCCGTCATTCTTCCCTCGTGTGTTTGTGTGCGCGCGCTTGGTTCAAATCGGGTCCTAGAGCGTGCGCGTGCGCGTGCGCGGTTTGATTTGCACGACTGACATTATCGGATGACAGTCCCGCGATCATGTGCATGTCAGCCCTGTGGATGGTGTTTAACAAGTGTTTTCGGGCTACTCACTCATGTTTCTCTTCCGCTTCCTCCGAATTGCTGGCCCTGTCTGTGCCAGATGTTAGACAAACATTGCTCTCGTCTTGCAAGACAAACACTACTACACACGTGTGTTTTTCTCCCTTCCCCCCCCCCGTGGCGTTGAATGGCTTCGTTTTGTGCCAACGAATACAGTCCTGGTTTCCGAACCTAACAAGTTGTTTCGTTCTGTATGGAAACATTCTCAGAGTGAAGTTCGACATAATTGCACAGTGTTAAAGTGACCATTTTGACCAATGTTCATACACAAACGTATCGATAGAAGAAATAGAAATAATCTCTTTGTGGCGTGTACAGGCATAAGACAACAGTCATCCAGTGCCCTGGTCCTAACAGAATCTTAAGGATGATTGATTGAAAGGACATGATAAATCGCGCTCTAGACTACTTCTCGGTATCCATTTCCTTCTTCCCCCTTCCGTAATATTTTAATCTCCCTGTTTATATTATGAGCAATGTTTCCGTGCTACGGCTAACTATTATTCCGATCGAAATGAAGGGGCTCAGATCCGATATTGGTATCTGTAATAATCAAACAATCTTTCATTTTTATTTTCTATATATTTGCTTTAGCTCACCCCGGTGGTTGCTCTAACCATCCCAGCAGTCTAATTAGTTACATCACATCGAATGCTTGGATCAACATAAATGTTTTTATCTCGAACTAGGATTGCGCAAAACTCTTAAATCACACAGGATTCACTTTAAATTACTTAAGCTGTTTCCTTGGAGGAGGTAAACCGGCTTCATGAATGTCGATGCGTTTGTTCACGAATCGAGCGAATTCAACGGAGCGACTAAAATTCGTATCGACCGATGCTAGTAGCCTATACCGGCAGACAAAACAATCCCACTCTACCGTCCTGGGTGTGAACGTGATTAGACCTCAGTTGATGGACAACAGTCTGTCTATCGAGTATACTCCCTGAGCGATTGATTAGAGGATTTTTTTGTCCTTTCTGATCATCCCAAATATGTTGGAAATAATGTGGAATGATTGTATCTCGGGATGCGGCTGTTGTTGTTGGTGTGTTCTCCGAGCTGGAAGTTTTGTTCGCAGACGTTTCGTAGCCATGCTAGGCAACATCGTCAATGAAACTGAAGTTGCACGGATATACTCCCTTTAACGCTGGTTACAAAAAACAGTCCACATTCGTTGATATCTCAAAGACTCCGACATCCCAGTTTGGTCTAGGGTGGGTGTTTCGGCAAACAGTTTTTACCGTCAATGGTTCCTTTCGAAATTTCCTCCCCAACGTCCTACGTTTACAGCCTCTTGTTGTAGCCCTGCCCGTCGTTGGGGGGAGGGGTTGCTAAAGCGAAGGGCGAGAAGTCAATCAAACCTGCCTAATTAAGCACTTAGGTCTATTGCTCCCTCAACCTCCGAATGGGGAGCCTCATTCAACGAGTACCTAATCCAACTGAGGGGTCACCGGCCCTCGACGGAATCCCCTTTCTGTATTCGTCATAGTTTCTCAGCACAAATTTTCTATCTGGGTTTTAAAAAGTTAAACAGTCTTTTCACGACAGCACTAACCTGTCTAGTCATGCTTACTATCAAGCGGCTGACAGTGCAGGTATTCCTCAAACTCGTACGACATCGTGACCTTTGTCAGGTCTCGTGATCTCACTACCCAGGCTTTTGAGACAGTCACGGAAATGAATATGGTATTACCCCATAACAAGCACAACTTGTCTGTAATAGCATCCATTTATGTGTCTTCTGTTAGTCGAATGCTTTATAAAAAAAGTAAAGTAAAATTTCGCGATTTCGACGGCGCGTGCTGGCCCATCAGTTGTAAGATAACGGAACCTCAGTAGAAAAAATCATAAGAACTCATTTGTAAAAATGGCATATCGGTAGGACGTAAGTATATTGTAATTTCTTTTTTTAAAATCAATATTCTGTTCGCTCTTTTTCCTTTTTGATCACTTTGGTCAGTTGTTTTGGCATGAGATTCACCCACTTGGCAATCAAATCACCCTTTTCAGCCTCCTCCAAGACATGCCTTAACCTGGCCACCGACGACCACTGTCGTGATAACTAACATCTCTGTCTGCAACACAGAGAAAAGTTTTTGGTAACTGAATAAAATTAAACTGAGATTGAGTTTTCGTTCCCACTCATCAGAGGGATGAATATTTACTTTTTTGTGATGAGCCAAATGGATTTCCTCGGAAAATTACACCAGATCACCTCCATCCTCCTGATGTATAGTTCGTAAATCATCGATGAAATAAATCAAACACCAAACGGATGGGCGACGCGATTTGAATTTATTGACAAAGTCATTATGTTCATTCTCTGGTTGGGTGTTTCATAACAGCTTACCTCAACTGTAATTCTAGTTTAGTCTTCAAAGTCAAAGTTTTATTATGGGAAATGCCTACCAGCGGTTGCTTTTCTCATCCTATATGGTTCATCACAAATGGATCGATTTACGGTTTATAGAACGATGAGGAATGTCACAAGTTATCCTTGCTTCGTGCACTGCTACGGATGTCAAAATCTAAGACTTGTCCAACTTTCATCCAGTTCATACTTGAAAGAATCAATTGTGACGCAGAAACAACGTGATGTGGTAGAGAATTCCAACCAGTGCACAGTCTGACGGCAAATGAATAGCACCGGCATTCTAGTCCACATTTTGGAACATTAATACTAATAATATTCAACTACCCCAAAGGTTTATACCGCTACCTTTGATCCGCTCCCCCCACCCCAGGTAATCTCACAAATGTTCTGTTCTGTCGATCATGATGCGCATGAAACTCGCTTAGGACAAGAGAACAATGTGCAGACGCATTGCCCCTCTGGAAGATCGTTCTAGTAGCGAGATCTGTCTGATAAACACATCAGTCTTACTATATTCCGCATGCTTCTTAGTCCAAACTGTGCCAAACCAATCACCGCACAGCAATTTATGTAACAAAGAAATGAGTTTATGATTCGCTGGTGGCCGAGGTACTGCCAGGTCAAAGCCGATGAATTTTCTCGGAAATTCCCTGTACTCCCAAGGCAATGCGATGGTCTGTAATCCGCATGCGTACATTGTTAATCAGATCATATACGCTTTGGACTGGGTAAACGTCCAAGAAGCTCTGTTTATCTCGATGCGCAATCAATCGGGTGATCACTGACAACCAAGGTGTGCGGTTCGTACACCTTTACTTGATTGGTTTGGAATCGGGATTTATAGCCAACTTCCCTGAACTGTCAGTGGTTCACCGACCCGGTTCTCTGTCCGTAAATTATTGGAAGTTGACCAAACAAAATTAAAATGTCTGGTGCAAACTGTTACATTCCGCCGTCATTTCGATACACTCGCTACCAGTAGCCGATTTTTCATCGTGTGCGACCGGCTTGTGTAAGCGGCCATTGACTTCGCCAGTGTTTCTATCACTCATAGAAGGTTTTAGGAGGTGAGATTACTGCAAGTTCAACTCCAGCCGTCGCTCCATTGTACACTACAGATGGATTAAATATATAATACTGAATCACGTCTTCACGGGATTGAACAGACGTAAGTAGCATCATGCAAGGTTAGAGAGGAATAATGAGTTGGTGCACCGGAGTAAACAGTCACAAGATCTGGATCGTGAGGAAGAGCTGGATTCAACGTTAACCAAAGGCCGGGGAAGGAGGGGGCAGAGACGCAACACAGTTTATCAGAGTCGAGCACCATAGCAAGCGTATTTTGGCTCAGGATGGGATGTTGCTCACCTGTGGGAGTCGTAGAGAGAACACAGATTCAATTTGCACAATTTGCATCCGGATATATTACGTTGTATATCTGATTTGGTGCATAATACAGCCTACATGGTGTGAACGTTCACAGCAATTCGATAAAATTACCCTCGGGAGTATTAAACTGCTTGCGAAGATTCAAATACCCAATTCCTGCATTCTTTCTCGGATGCGACCGTATTTTTAAATCTTAGTGTACCAATGCCAATCTATGTGAAATCTGGTCGTCGTGCTACATGGCAACATGAAGTTATTCGCCCTATATGAGACGACACTTTTTCCCGGGCAAATCAAGTTCCATGCAACTCACGTTATTGTTATTCGTGTTTACTTGTCAGTGACCAAAAAACTTGCTCACATAGGTACGTCGCGTTAGGCTTCCCGGATGGGGATCTCGGGATCGGCCTAACCGATGATTATACGCACTAAGTGATATAACGGACTGTCATAAACAGTGACGC